TTATAAAATTTTAAGTTGGTATACAATTTAGTTATATAACATCAGTGGCGAATCCAGGCGGCGTATAGGTCACACGCCCCCACCCCACCTTTGATGGCCCCAAAAAAATAAATCTTTTTTTTTTCGATTTTTCTTAGCATAATTCGTCCAAAACATTGTTCGCTTCGCTACGCTCTGCGGTATGTAAGCTGTTTGAATTACGCCCACTTTGAAAAAACCTGAATCCGTCCCTATATATTGTCAATAATATATTGACCAACGTCAATGTACGATAATCATAACACAATGGAGAGATAACAGAATCGTTTATTTATACAACTATTAATAAACTAATTATTATTGCATTTTCTCGATGGCCTGAGACTATTATAATACTAATTTATACTTAGTATTATAGTTACAATTAGGGATAGATAGATTTGATTTTTAATGCATGATTATTGTAATCCTTTTCTCACCATAAACATTCATTTTCTATGGCGATTCTGCAAGCATATATACATTTGTTTGATTATCATGCCTTATAATGAACATTTAGCCTTAAGAAGATTTATTTTAAACGATCATAGGAAATATTACACCCCTAGGTAGATTGGATTACTTATAAAGATAAACATCCTGTTGTGCAAGAAAATCACATATCAAATGTGAAGACTTCAATTTTTAAGACCATAAACTCTAATTTTAAGTTTAAACACTAAAATTTACATAATTGATGTAAAAAAACTTATAGAGAGCTTAAAACTCAAGTTGCGGTTTAACCTTCATTTCTATCTATTTCGCAGTTAGAGTATTTTTTTTTAATGCAAAGCAAAATTATAATTATTTCTGTTCCAATAAAGTAGGAATTAAATGCTTACAGATTCAAATAAATAACAGGTTGTCCTCTGTAAGAAATCGTTTTCCAACCAGCCACCAAACTCCTTTTAATTGCTGAAGTTCAATTATGTTATGCGATTATGCATTTTTTTTCTTTGACAAAACCGGGTTCTGCCTTGTGAAATCTAGGACATAACCGGGTTGTACACATTGACAAAACCGGGTGCTTCCATTTTGACATGACCCATTTCTTTCGTTCCATACGCAGAAATACAAGTATTGAGGTGCTCAAAGTGACTAGTTTTGCAATCTCCATGTCAATATCTTTCTTTCCGTACCTTTCTTTCCGTACCATGTGAACAATTTAAGGAGAAATTAAACAAATTCGAGGCAAATTTCACTCAATTCGTCATTTTAACGTGTATTTTTACTTATTTCTCTGTTAATCTAGAACGGTTGTAGAAAATATTACATCTCACAATAGAAAACAGTTATATATGTATAAATATTCTTCGATATCATAACAATAACAAATAAATAAACAGAAAACTACATTTTCTCTGTCTATTGATGTTCCGTCACCGGATATTAGTTACCATCGAGTCCAAACATTTTTTGCCGGGGTAGTTTAGACACAGTGATCGCGGGTCCGTGACTGAATTAAAGTACCTATGTCTTATTTTTAGCCTGGATTTTTAGTATTCGTATTGTCATCTGATAAAGTAATGCTGATTGTAAGGTGCACAGTTTTCTCTGCATTCAAAATCTTTCTGTTTGAACCCGTCCTGGTTTTCTTACCACAATAGACTTACTATAAACCAATCAAAATTAATAGTGGTATTGAGGTGGAAGGAAACAGACTTGTTAAATAGTGTACTATAGTGTAACATAGATATAAAACAACCACTGGAATAAAATTGAGAATGGAAATGGGGAATGTGTCAAAGAGACAACAACCCGACCAAAGAGCTGAAAACAGCCGAAGGCCACCAATGGGTCTTCAACACAGCGAGAAAATCCCACACCCGGAGGCGGGCCTCAGCCTGCCCCTAAATAAAAATGTGTGCTAGTTCAGTGAAAATGGACGTCACACTAAACTCCAAAACATATAAATGAACTAAGACTAAAAACATACAAGACTAACAAAGGCCAGAGGCTCCTGACTTGGGACAGGCGCAAAAAATGCGGCGGGGTTAAACATGTTTTGTGAGATCTCAACCCTTCCCCTATACCTCTAGCCAATGAAGAATAAACAAACACACAGCAATACGCACAGTAAAACTCAGTTTAAATGAAGTCCGAGTCAGATGTCAGAATAGGTAATAAAAGAAACTTAGCAAAATGACAATGATACATAAATTAACAAAGGACTACTAGCAGTTACTAACATGCCAGCTCCAGACCTCAATTAAACTGATTGAAAGATTATGTCTTCATCATATGAAAATCAAGCACAATCCCTCCTTTAAGGGGTTTAGTATCATACCATCATAAAATATATGAGAAGAACATAACCCGTATCATGCCAACAACTGGTTTTAGAATAAATGTGTTTATTTCCGATGCAAAGACCCTATGAGTGAATCAATATTAATACCAAAATATGCCATCGTTAATGACCTGACATATACTATTGGTATCGGTATCAGAGTCGACCCGGAACTTGTTATTTATTGATAATATTAATTATGTGGAAAACAAAAGGGCTTGACATGTTGTTATTTCTAAACAATATCATTGTCCTATATTAGTTATATATAAAGTTGAATTCTTTGATTCGTCGTGTTTACGTCATGCCGGCTAACAAATTGGACCTCGTTATTTTAGTAGTATAGATAGTATATCAACTTGAAGGGAGATAAATCAGATAATTGATCTTCATGAAGGAATTCAAATATACAGTTAATTAACATATTTTGTTATGCTTCAAGTAAACGGCAAATAGTGCCTTTTCAGTGCATGAAGTTTACAAAAATTTGAGAGTTTAGCACATCCTATTTTTATTATATCTTTGAAAAAGCATGCTATAAACTTCATTTCGACAAACTATGCTATATAATTGTTTTAAGTGTATACCACCAGTAAGTAACATACATGGTATAGAGTGGAATCCGTTTTGGTTTTTCAGGATTTCTAATATTGCATCCTACCTTAATTGGGACATTAAATCTGATGCCTTATTTAAAGGGAACTTTTTTCCCTATTAAACATATCCTCATTGTCTAGCCGCAGTAGAATCCGACCTTCATCGTGATCAATCTATAGCAGAACATACAGGCATTTTGTTGAATTTTGTTTCAAAATTTCAGTCATATTAAAAAATGACTGGGAATTTTTCATCATATTATAAAAAGCCTATCAAGTGTAGGCATATTATTAATGCCTTAAAATTCAAATGAAGAAGCTGTCTGTAACATATGCTTTGCTATACAATTATGAACACTAATGCTCCCACATTAAACTTATATTTTGGCATTGCACAAAGCAGTGCTTTACAAAGATCTTTTTGACGCTTTTACGTTAAATCTGTAGGAGGTGTACAAATTGATGTTTTAATCTGGGCAAATATTGTTTATTTTAAAATTGAAATTTGCTAAGAACTAGCTTGCGTTTCATTTTATGATTTTTCTAGATAGAATTTTGTTGCTGACACTGAAGCTTTAGTATTTATTAAGGATTTTTAATGGTGAAGTGTAAATAAAATCATCATAGATACCAGGATTAAAATTTTGTACGCCAGACGTACGTAGTGTCTACAAAAGACTCATCAGTGGCGCTGGAATCAAATAATTTTAAAAAGGCCAAATAACGTACGAAGTTGAAGAGCATTGAGGACCCCGAATTCCGAATGGTTTTGCCTAATACAGTTAAGGTAATCTATTCCACGTGTTAAAAGTTAAACCCTTAGTATTTCGAAAAGATCAGAGTTTTGTAAACAGTTAATTAATAACTATGAGCATATCAATGACAATTCATGTCAACACAGAAGTGTGCACTACTGGGATTGTGATACCCTCGGGGAGGAAACCATGACCAGCAGTGGCATCGGCTCAGTGGTTGTAAATAAACTCAAGTGTGGCATCAAGTGGAATCCATTTGGCTTTGCAGGGTTTTTAAAATTGCACTCTTTCTTTATTGGGACATTTAACCTGATGCATTATTTAAAGACAACTTTTTTCCCAAAAGAGTGAGTGGGGGTGAAAAACGAAACCGAGTAACGACATTTGCAGTACAAAATGTAACATTGTTGAATTTCAAAGCATAAATAAACCGCATATCAAAACTGAATCTTTTTTATCAGTAACAGTTCACCCTTAACGACCACCCGAATTAATCACCCGTAGATTTTTATAAATTGGTTCTTGTTACCTGTTTGATTTTATTTCCATATTGTATAAATACAACTTCAAAATACTATTTATATAGTTAACAATTAATCCAGGCAATGAACACTTTTTTAAAGAAAACATCGATACTCTTTCCAAATAGGTTATGTCTTTGATGCCGTTGATTCAATTCAGAATTAACATATTGATATGGGGCTATATCGATAAACACTCAAACTTCATTCATCTTGATTAAATAGACAATTTAAGGATGTATTAGTCACGTTGGAATCTAGTTCGGGATTATTTCCAAAACATGTGATACAAGTGGAAAATATTAAATAAATGAATTTAAGAAAAACAAAAGGTATTTGCTAAAATAAAAATGTAAACAACACTTTACTTTTCTGGATTTACCTTCATCAGGAACCTCAAGTCCAAATATCTAAAAGACAGGGATGTATAAGAAACGAAAGAGTTAAAGAGTTATATGACCTAAAAAGAACTACAAAAATAGCCAAAACTTTACCCGAGGGAGTTCAAACCTTAGTTTCTTTTTAATTTATAAATTTATAAACGGACATTTAACTGAAGAAAAAGGTTTGTATAAAATCATATCAGTACCGAAGTATATAATTATAACTGAGGGGGAAAAATTAAGTCAGTTATCTTTTTATGACTTATTTCCTTGTGATTTTGCGATATTTTATTGTTGTGCTTTTAACTGTATGTGTTTATTTTTAGTGATTGCAGACATCAGGAAGTATTACTTTATGACACAATAATGGGGAACCTTACATAAAGAGGCATTTCGATGCACCCACTCTTCGTAAAAAGTTTATTTGAACTGATATAATGGCGCAATCTAATTTTCTACTTGTTGCTGCAATGGATTTTGGAACAACCTATTCAGGATATGCATTTTCATCTCGCGAAGACTTCAAAAAGGATCCATTGAAGATTCATGCAAATCAGGCATGGAATGCTGAGGGGAGACAACTCTTGTCACTAAAGACCCCTACCTGTCTTCTTCTTGATTCTGACAAAAATTTCTTTGCGTTTGGATACGAAGCAGAAAATATATATGCTGAGCTAGTGACTGAGGATCAGCATAGAGACTACTTCTACTTTCACAGATTTAAAATGATACTATATCAACGAAAGGTACTGATTAAATATCAAATCCGAACAATTTATGACTTTCATTATGTTCTGTAGATCTAATTTTTAAACAGTTAGTATGTCTACGCGGGTTTCCCCCTTTAGTGTATTATATTCAACATAGTTCTACCAGTTTTACTAAACTACTGTTGACCCTTATCATACATATAACAAGACCAAAATTAACCATCGATAAGTCAAGAGAGTATATCTGTTCGCAGTATTAGAAATGTCATTTCTAAAGTAGTCTTTTGGGTTCAAACTTCATTGGGTTGATATATATGAGACACAACATATTAAAGAATATCATGTATTACAAAGAAAGTGTACTTTAATTGCTGTACATTATTTTGACAGCTACCGCAAGATTTTCACTTATTATCTAAAGAGTTAACATGTGATTGAAAATCTGTTTCACAGATGACGACAGATAAGTTCCAATTGTCATATTCACAATCCCATCCTCCTTTCCTCACATGTGACCTTATCGCCGGGTTTGCACTTACATGGACAACACAACGGGTGCCAAATGTGGAGCAGCATCTGCTTACCCATCCCCATCTGAGATCAGATCCGAATTTTGGTGAGGTTCGTGTTGCTCAGTCTTTAGTTTTCTATGTTGTCTTTTGTTAACCGATGTCTTTTTTGCCATGACATTACCAATTTGTTTTCGACTTTTTTTATGAGTTTTCATATCCCTTCAGTATCTTTCTCCTCTTTTATATAGAAAAAAGGACCATCCTAAGCGTCAACAGTAGCTGTAATCATTGATATTTTTTAATAATTGCAACAAATGTCTATGACGTTCTAGTGAATTGGAATTCATCTCCTGAACTCTTAATGCAACTTCTATGATGCAATGCTCTTCACGGGAACATAGTCGTACCAATTACAATTAAACACACTATCACAAGCTGCCACCAAGCCCTCTGAAAAAATATTGAATTACGTAAATAGCTGGCTCGTTAGATAAGTCTTCAACTAAAATTTTGAAAGGAATAAAAATATATGAAGTTGTATAACCATAAAGAGGACAATAAAACATAAATCGAAGACAAGCAGTTCACTTAACACTTCACAGATGCTAGAGGTTGAACAACACGAATCCATGCAAAACTCAGGGATTAAAAAAGTCTGTATCCTCTGTAAGCATCCAATTTGTGTCTCATAGGAAGTATAAATCCTTTGATAATTCCCATATTGGGATGTCACAAGCGAGGAAAAAAGAAAATGATTTTAGAAACAAGTTGAATGTATCCGTGTTCTACTGTGTCACCTATATTCCAAAATGGTTCTAACAAATTAAAATGACAATTCCCGGAATATTGTATCACCTGGGTAATTTATACTCTATACACAAGCGATACCCAGAATGTTTCTTCTTTTCAGAATTATATGAAAAATTGAAATCATCATTGCATGATTCAGAAAGGTGACATTTCATCTACATATAGCAATACATGATGTTTAAAGATAGCGCCAGGTTTTTTTTCATTCATAAGATTCTTTCCCGTGTGCAATCATTTAAAAACTGGAATATGACAAAGAAAAACTGATGTCCTTATATCAAGGAACAATAAAATCCGTAAAGATAGTTAGTCCAAGGTATACATTCATGATAAATTCACTCTATGTAGTATGTCCAACTTTTGTGTAGACACCAATATGGATATTTGACATTAAAATAATAAAGCATCTTTTTTTTATTTTAATGCTACATGTATGTATATGTTTTCTAGAAATTGACAAAGGATTTGATGATTGAAGATATTTCTGGAAAATCAATGTTAGCTTTAGACGTCTTTTCATTGTCAATCAAAGCTCTAAAGGACCATTTACTTAAAACGCTAAATAAGCAAATAACTGGTGTTGTCATAGAGGATATTTTATGGGTGCTGACAGTGCCAGCAATATGGAATGAAAATGGAAAACAGTTTATGAGAACAAGTGCCATGCAGGTATTTTGAAAGATAACTTAATATAAGTTATTATTGTCCTTGGCATTACATTAGGCACTGGAAGAAGAAATACTACAGTAACAGTATACGTCATTTGAGTAGCAGTAAAAGTAGTAGTATTTGAGATGCACGAATCATAAAAAAATACTTACATATATATAAGATGCTTGGCAAAATCAGTATTTTTCTTATTTAGAAAAATAAAAAGATGCAGTAGCAATTTTAGAAAATCTTATTTGTTAGTAATTCATGTATTTCATGACGAAAGAAGATGTATTTGTAAATGTTTTGTTTCATTCTGCGAGAAATCAAATACTTATTTGCCTATGTTTTTCACATTACCAAAGTATTAAATGGGTTTTCACTATTGCAGGCGGGTATACCTTCTGAAAAACTTCTTTTAGCCCTTGAACCGGAAGCAGCGTCAATCTACTGTCAATACCTGCCTACTAAGCAACTGTTTGGTGCTGATCCTGAATTAGTTGTTGCGGCTGTAGGAACAAAATACATGGTAGTTGATATAGGTGGTAAGTATACATTGCATTTTACATCGCATCTAATTGATAACCAAGTATAAAATGAAATTGGGGAAAATATCATTGAAGTAGAAAACAATTCAAATAATCAAAACACTTATAGTGTGAAATATTTATTCTCTTACAAAACTATTTAAAAAAACATTAAATGGTCGAAGAGAACACGTGGTCAGGTTCTAGATAGTTCCGAGTCTATATCAATGTGAATACATCAAACAGAAAGTGTCTAGTACCTGCAATCAACTCCAAATTCTTCAGTAACACTGCGATTTACACTTGGCCTTTTTTAACAAATGATTGTTTACAGGTATGTTATTATGTAGCGTGCTTAAACTTGTTTTATTTTTATCTCAGTCAATCTTGATATTGTTGTCAGTGGACTTACAAAAGTAGAAAAATACACTATAAGATTCAGTATAGTAAATAACGGTACAAACTTAAACAATAATGGTAATATTGTTTAAGTATCAAAGATTGCTCACAGGTACTAAAGTCCTTTTCAAAATGTTATGGAAATCTTGATTTTGCTTGACCATCGATATGTTAAATTGTACAATTATTTCATCGTCTTTGTCATAACTTGTAACATGTTGTTATTTGGTAAATATAACAATAGGAACATACCAGTTATTTAACATTCCATATTGAATTGTTTTACATTTTGTTATGTCGTTGCCTTTTATAGCTTCCTGTGCGGTATGGGTTTTGCTCATTGTTGAAGGGGTACGGTAACACCATCTACATCATTTGGTTTCTGGTAAATTGTAGTCGCATTGAAAATAATACCGCATCTCCTGATTTTATATACTTTTATTAAAAATAAAGTCATCTATTAAGATAGATTACCAATAACAACAACAAAATGATGGAAATGATGTAAAAATAAGAATCGGATAACTTCGGTCGTAGCGGGTGTTAAATGTTCCGAATCAGCAAACTTCGGGCTCAGGCGGGTGTTAATTTTAGGCATTAACACCCGTTGCTAATATTATCACATGTTGCTATGGGTGGGCGGGTCTTATGAAAGGTTAGTGAAAATTAACAAATGCCGCGTGTCTAATGAGGTGAATGGATAATATAAACATTTGCATAATGTATAATAATACAGTTTATCATACGTTGGTGGATTTACTAACTATTTCAAAGACCTATATTTGCTTATATTAACGTCATTTAATATCTGGTAGATAGTTTTTTCATTATCAGTCATACAACATCTTCTTATTTTTAAAATGATCTCCTGTTATTCATTACTACTTGTTATAAAGTCAACATCATGGTGATTCAGTTATTGGGCAATAATTACATTTCATGTATATTTCACGAGAATCCGTCAGTTTGATTGGCTAACAACAATCGCGCGTCATTCAAAAATTAACCTTCATATCAAAATGAAATGTTACATTCGTGATGACATGTGCTTCCACACAAAAGTGCACAGGTAAATAAAAGAAAAACTAGATAAAACGTTTTTTTCATGGTCTTATTAGCATACAAATGTAATTATAAGAAATGGATGCTTCTTTTTGTAACTTTATTGGGGTGTAAAAGTGCTTCATACAAAATGTGCTTCGGTCAACACTTTTACACCCCAATACAATTACAAAAAGAATCATTCATTTCTTGAATAATATAAATGTGTACATATATTCGACACGATAAACCTACCATACATTTTAGGTGGTACAGCTGATATTACAGTACATGAAAAAATTAATGATCGAAGACTTAAAGAGACTTGCTGTGCATCCGGTGGAAATTGTGGGGGAACTGCAGTTGATTATGAATTTTTTAATATGATGGAGAAAATCATGAATAAGGATACATGGAATGCTTTTAAGAGAGAAAATCTCGAAGAATACCTTGATCTAGCACGAGAATTTGAAACCAGAAAAAGAGCAATTAGACCTGATAAAACTGGACCAATACATATGGTTATTCCATTTACAGCATTAGATACTATTTGTAAAGAGCATTTAAACCATAGTTTAAAATCTGCTATTGAATCATCATCGTTTTCATCGGTATTGTCACTTCGAAAGGATAAAATGCGTTTTGAATTAGATACTTTTATCAATTTGTTTAGGTCAACAATTGATTCTTTGATTGCCCTTATATCTGACATCCTTTCTAGGAAAAATGGCGACGGAATAACTCAGATTATTTTGGTTGGAGGTTTTTCAGAATGTAAACTGGTTCAACAAGCAGTAAAGGATGCCTTTCCACAACATACAGTTATCGTGCCAATAGACAGTGATTTGGCTGTTATGAAAGGAGCAGTATTATTTGGTCACCAACCAAATATCATAGCTCAAAGAATTTCCCAGTATACATATGGTGTTAGCAAGAAAAAACCGTTTGATCCTGATAAACATGATGTTAATCACATGGAGATAATTAAAGGTGAAGCAAAATGTACCCATTTATTTGAAGCGTTTGTTAAACGAAATGATACTATTCCTCCAGGAAAAGTAGTTACGACAAGTGCGAAAAGTCGGCCCAGGGATGATGGATTTTTTAACTTACGGATTTTTCAAACAGAAAAGGAAAATCCTATGTATACGGACGAAGAAGGTTGTTCACTATTGGGGTCAATTAAAGTTCAAAAAACTAATCCCAAAATTACTGAAAAAATTAAAGTACAATTTGTTTTTGGAGAAACTGAAATAGAAGGTAAAATTACCGAAACAGAACATGGTACAGCATGTAAGTTTACATTTGATATGATATAACAAAATTAATCAACACCCGTTTAAAAAGATGCATTCACGTATATGCTAAAGGACGACAATAACAGTGGTAAACCGAGGCAAATAGTAGTCTTTTTATGCGTTGTAGTGTCATAACCAATATTATTTTTGTAAGCAAACCGTAACAACTAGTTAAATCGTATAGATTATCATAACTGTTCATAAAAGGATTTAAGAGGTTTTAAAAATTGATTCCATGTGTATTCACAGTTAATATATTGTGATGAATAAGTCTGAAAATTGACTGAAAGACTGAACATGAATAAGTTATTTTTGCAGACTTTTCGAAAGATATTCAGATAGAACCAAACGCCAAAATTTATTTACTAGGGCACCATTTAAGAAAATTTGAACTCAAATGAAATCAAAGTTCTAACGAAACTAAAAATATAATTATATAATTTAATTTTGGATGTAACACGTCTTTTGATTGGCTAAAAGTTTTTTGTCTATCAGCTCTAGACATAATTTTGTCCTGTGACCGTGACCTCATCAACGTTTTTTCATTATTTACTCCTTACAAATGGAATTTATAATTAGATTATAAGGAATGACTGTAATATGTTTTCTGTCAATTCGAAATAACGTCAGAAATATGGTGCACATTTTTAAGTAACACGCTACGCGGGTAATTCAATGTGCACCGTATTTTTTAGGTTATTTCTTCATAGACAGAACAGTCATTCCATAAACAACTTTACAATGATAATACAACAAAATTGAAATATTGAAAATATGTATTGTATTGAGACCTCTTTAGTATCTATTTCACGGTGTTAGTGTCTTGGTCATATGAGTACCACCAATATAGATAATAGCTATTTGAACTGAAGGTTATATTAAAGTAAAATAAATGTAAGTAATTTCGCTTGAATCTCGCATAGTCCGATAAACTTGAAATTAAGGATAGTACAGAGGATAGTGCATAAAAGGTATGTTGTGTAGATGTTAATGTAGTTGCTCAGTATCCATATATTAGAAAAGAAGATGAACGTGTCAGATTTAAATAAGATTCGAATCGACAGATTAAAACATGGAGGAGGGACGCGCATTTTGCAATAGAGGCTACTGACCTTTGAAATGCAAAGATGCAATGGATTTTGAAAAATAAAATCAATGAAACTTTGGTTGAGTGAAAATATATCCTGATTGTTTTTCATTCGATAAATCATGAATCTTAAATGGGTAGTAATTTTACTCCAGTCCTGTAAATAAGTACCTTCAATGTTATTACAGCCACTGGGTCAATACTTCTTCTGGATGGACTGTAAGATCCCGAGAGTCTCACCATCCCAGAAGCCAGAACTTCGGTTATGGCGTGAAAATACGGATATTGTTTGATTGAAAAACAAGAAGATCAAAGACCTTAGATCATTAAATTTCACTTACAGGTATATTGATGATGTTCTTTCCATTAATAATCCTAACTCCCATTAATGTATCCTCTTGAACTAGAGATTAAGGAAACTACAGATACAGCTTCCTCTACCTCATTTCCATACATATACCTCGAATTTTACAACAGCGATCATCTCATGTACCAGAATCTATGACAAACGAGACGATTTCAATTTTTTATAACAAAAATGTTCCTCGCCTTAGCATCAATATACCAACTTCGACCGTGAATGGAGTATACATTTCTCAACTTATATGATATTATAGAGTTTGCAATTCCTACTCAGACTCAGTTGAACGTCAGCGGTGTCTGTGCAAAATTTTTATAAGACAGGGTTTAGTCAAGGAACGTCTCGTCCTTGTTCCCAAAAGTTTTTTCGGACGGTACCAAGAGCTAATATATATATATATATTCAGTGTCACTTCACAAATACGTCAAGACAGTCTTGAGTTATAGATTGTAGCAGCTTACATGCAAGTTGTGTATCTTTTAATTTGCTTTACAGTTTTTGCTTTATTATTGTTCGTTCTATTATGTTTCTTTTGTTCGTATTACTGATGACATGATCGGGTATTTAAACATCCAGCTATTGTGTTTTTGACTTTGGGCGTTCCTGGTGTCGGCGAGTCCTGATGTGCGATTCGGACGTAAGAGGTTTTGACAGTATTGTTTATATTTTATTTTCCATTGTATTTATATTTTAGTAAATTTGCACTTTATCGAGAAAGTGTTTACTTTTATATTGTATGTACTATTAACTACAAAAAATGTTTTTATCCGCGTCTTAATAAATAAAGTATCAACTACTAGTACGAAAAAAAATTGTTTGATGTCATTGTCAATTTTACTATCAACAACAGCTTTATTGTTGGCGTTTTAGTTAGATTTATATTGATGTTTTTATTAATATTTTAGTCAGTTGTGATGAATGTCTGTGTTTACAGTCATTTTGATCTTATCATCATCTGAAAAATATGTATGATAATTTGTTAAGTCATTTTCAGTCTGCCAGTTAATTTTCAGACTTTTCCACTGCGGTGAATTCAGTACTGTTCGGTCGCTCTTCAGACTTTTCAGTATGTTGTTGAAGTGTACAGGTAAATCCCAACTACTGAATAGTCGGAATATAGAATGAGCAGATCCTAATTGTCTGATCTGTACTGAATTTACTGTGGTGAATAAGGCTGCAAATTAACTGCAAGACTTACAATGACGTAATAATTTATTGTTCAGTGTTTAAAGAGCTGTTCAGATCAAAATGACAGTTTCAGATCAAAACTGGTTTACAGGTGAATACACATGGTATCAATTTTGAGAACCTGTACCTGTAGAAAAAAGTATGGTTTTAATTTACTGATAACAAAATCAAAATTTATACCAATACACAATATTCAAAGATCTAATCACAGTGATGAATTGGTTACCTTTTATAATAAGTTCATTTAAAGGATTGATAAGTTTACCCGGGTCGTATCTAAATTTCCGGGCTCGGTAAACAACATTCCAGTAAAAATTAGGATGTGCTATTTCGTTTGAAATAAGTTTTCTACAGGTACAGGTTTTAAAAATTGATTCCGTGCGTATTCACAGTTAATATATCGTAGTGAATAAGTCTGGAAAATGAATGAAAGACTTAACATGAATAAGTTATTTTTGCAGACTTTTCGAAAGATATTCAGATAGAACCAAACGCCAAAATTTATTTACTAGGGCACCATTTAAGAAAATTTGAAATCAAATGAAATCGAAGTTCTAACGAAACTAAAACTATAATTATATAATTTAATTTTGGATGTAACACGTACGTCTTCTGATTGGCTGAAAGTTTTTTGTCTATCAGCTCATAGACATAATTTTGTCCTGTGACCGTGACCTCATCAACGTTTTTTCATGATTTACTCCTTAAAAATGGAATTTAGAATTAGATTATAAGGAATGACTGTAATATTTTTTTCTGTCTATTCGAAATAACGTCAAAAATATGGTGCACATTTTTTAAGTAACACGCTACGCGGGTTATTCAATGTGCACCGCATTGTTTAGGTTATTTCTTCATAGACAGAAAAAAATATTACAGTCATCCCATAAACAACTTTACAATGATAATACAACAAAATTGTAATATTAAAAATATATATTGTATTCTGACCTGTTTAGTATCTATTTCACAGTGTTAGTGTCTTGGTCGTACGAGTACCACCAATATAAAGAATAGCTATTTGAACTGAAGGTTATATTAAAGTAAAATAAATGTAAGTAATTTCGCTTGAATCTCGCATAGCCAAATAAACTTGCAATTAAGGATAGTACAGAGGATAGGCTTCTTAGCTAGATCTTTTCCTGAAAATTGACACTCATGGACAGCAAAAACGAATATATGACATACTAATCTCCTTTTGCTAACGTCTTAAGTTATTATGTCTTAAGTTCCCTCACCATTTATGATCAAATTATCATCTTAGTTTCTCCACTTATCAAGAGTTCCAACTGGTGTTTGAAATTATCCCTTTGAAAATTTAATGGACACCATCACGAGTTGGTTGGCCGTAATGGAATATCTGTTTCACAGATGACGACGGATATGTTCCAATAGTCGTGACTACAATCCCCTCCTCTTTCCCCCGTGGCCAGTTTATTTTCATCATACGAGATTGAATGTCCCTTTGGTATCTGATACAATTATAATTTTGATTAAAAGTGTTTAGTGGATATATATTGCAGGAGATGCTTATCATCGTTCAACTCCATTTAAGAATTCAGGTAATTCTGTTGGTTATCATAAACTATTTTGTTCTACTTGTTTTCATTGATCATGTTTATGTATTTGAAATGGGCGGATGACCTCTTAACAAACATCGGTATTCCATTACTACAACATATAAATTCTGTATGGTTGATGGTGGGCGGTAAATGTATATCGAAAGATGACTATCTAGTCGACGCATTAGACGTAATATGTTTCTCTTGATTTTGTTATAAGTGGAGATTTGAACATTGAGAAACTACTGTTTCCTCTAATTTGATGATGTTTCCATTGGATACCTCCTTCGTTAAATATCATATTTTCTATGTTCGACAATGATGTTATTGTTTTTTTATTGATCTTCCAAATTCAACGCCAAACATTTTGCATTTGCAAAATAAAATATAATTCAGCAAGTATGAAGGTAAAAGTAGATTTACAAAAAAAAATAAATCTCTATTTCCGATTTGGTACAGGCATTTTCCTAGGTTTATTTCAATCGGATAAAAATAGTTTTATTTTTGTTAAACGGATGACAATACACCAAGAAGGCAACTAAAAACTATTAGTGCAAGAAAACCAAACATCACCATGACCAATTGAAAACGGACGATAATACAAAAACGTCTACAATACATTAAATAGAAAATTCCAGAATAAGAAATACAAAACAAACCAATACTCAGAAGCTATGAAGCGGTCAGCAATTATGTCCTATAATGACACCACCGCCTACTCCTGATAAAATATCAAGTGTTAATATCCAGGCATTTTGGCGGAATTGAGGGTTGTTATGGGGGGGGGGGTCTGTTGTTTTTACGTGCTTAACAATTTTTCCCGTTGCTGCAATTATAACGTTTCCGTAAATAAATCAGACATACTTTATTAACAGATTAAATACTCTTACCGGTCATTTGAGCTTAATATCATATTTGGCAAGCCAAGTTTAATGTTTCTTTGATACTAGATTGTTCACTTTTCAGTTATACTAACTCAGCAATCATGCTCGATTACTCTTAAGTCAACTAAGTTGTGTTTTGTGGACCAATCTTTAAGCAGACTGTAGTTGAATGATGGAAACAAATATTGGGTTGTTCGGAAGAATACGGACTCGGTATATTGGAATATTGGTCAGGGTATGTCGTACACCTTGTCCCATTTATTGATTTGTTATTTGTGAATACTGGATTTAAAAAAAAATGTAATATATATTTTTATTTTCGTTTAATTTTTAAAACGTGATAGTTATCATGATTTACGCATGTAACGTTCTGATAGAAATCTTATTCTGTGGATTTGTTTATAAGTAGATATAATATAGAACAGAATTAACACGATAT